ATAAATATAAAATTTTATCATTAAATTATTATATTTTTATTTTATTAAAGAAACTAAATTTATTAAAAATAAGTAGAGAAAATAATTGTTTAAAAGGAAAATATAACAAATTTTTTATTTGTATTATTGAAATATTAATCACTTAATATTATAAAGATTTAAACTCTTAATTTTAATTTTAAATTAAAAAATTTTAATTAATGGTACTAATTTAGCCAAATTTTTTGTCACCAAAATGTAAGAACCTTTTGGATCAAAATAATGTCTAACATACATGGTTTGTTATGGCATTCCATACTGATGTCCATATCCATTCTTCATCGAGTTATCCTTAAAACCTTAATTAAAAACCCCTAATTAAAAACCGATTATCTAATTCCAGTCTTACCCTTATTTGTTTACTTCTAAACATACTTAAAAACCACGTCATTACTAAACATACAGAGTCTCTGAGGTTTACATCCGCAGTATCAGTACTCCTTGCTGTGGTGTTCATCGGAGTAAGTTCAGTGATGGCCATTTCAGCACTCATAGAAGGGAAGGCAAATAACCTAAAACTGCTACCAGATAACAAAACCTCCTTCTTTGACCTCTTCACTGCTATCCCTGTAATTGTGTCGGCTTTCACATTCCAATTTAATGGTGAGAACTAAGAATGGTGAGAACTAAGAACTATGTAAAACTAAGAACATCTTGTTCTATTCCTTTCAATGGCTAGAAATATGAAGTTTTCCTCATTTCTTTGATGATTGCAGTTCATCCAATTATGTTCGAGTTGGGAAAACCTTTTGATATAACTACAGCAGTCAGAATTTCTCTGGTACTCAGTGCTGCCATTTACTTCGCCACTGGTTTTTTCGGATACTTTATTTTTGGAGAAGAAATCATGTCGGATACACTTGTAAATTTTGATCAGATTTCTTCTCCAGTGGGTTTATTACTCAATGATGTAGTGAGGTTAAGCTATGCCCTTCACATCATGCTGGTTTTTCCTCTCTTGAATTTATCATGGAGATCAAATATTGATGAATTCCTCTTCCCTCACAAGCCTCTTCAGGCAAAAGACAACACCAGATTTCTGTCCCTGACTCTAATCCTCCTAGCCTTCTCTTACCTGGCAGCCATAGCCATCCCCAACATCTGGTACTACTTTCAATTTTTTGGGTCAACTGCCATTGTTTCTCTGGCCTTCATCTTCCCTGCCGCCATGGTTTTAAGGTGCTTGGGAACCTGTCTGCAATTACTCTAACAATCCTTCATTTCGTAGAAATTTCTGCCTAAAATGTTGTTTCTGACTCTTTGTTCAATTACAGGGATGTTCATGGGATATCAATTACGAGAGATAGGATGGTGGCAGCAACAATGACAGTCCTCTATCATAGTCCTGGCTGTAGTAACAAGCACAATTGCCGTTTCCACCGACATATATAATTATATAGTTTGAGTACAGGAAAGAATACAAAACTTCTGCAGTTGAGTTCTCTTATGTTGTATGATTTATCTTCTTCCCTTCTGTTTTTGCCATTAAGATTAAGGTTGTAGCAGCTTCTGATCAAGTCCTCATTGAACTCATCCCAAAACTTGTTCTGTATAAGTCTGACATGGCAATAAGATGTTTTCAAAAATTGAAACAGATATGTATAAGTAATTGCATTAAGTAGTATCTGTGTACAAACTTCTTTGATCTATGAGATGAGAAAAGCTGGATTTGGCCATTCAGTCTCGTTAATGTCGTGTCATACAAGAAATTGCATATTGACAACAGAACTCAGAAGCAGTAGAAAGAACAATCAAAGAACTTTTAATAAGAGTATCGAGGACAGAAAGACCTGATTTTCTGAGAGATTAACTATACTTTGTGTTTAAATACATCAGTGTTTAGTGTTTACACATACCTTATGGCTCGAATATTACAACAGTGACTACTTGTCTCCAGCTAACTGTACTTTGATTTCAGAAAATTAAAGGAGTGATTGAAGCTCTCCAAAATAATTTTCCAAACAACCGCAATCTGAACTTTGCTTCTGTGAATGTGCAACAATGACACGACCCTCAGAATTTCCACTCTGTTCCACAGCTTTCTTTGTCATCATATTCTGTCAAACAACTTCTGCACGTCTTTCATTGAGAGAGATAGCACAGATTCCTGTAATTCCTGGAATATACTTCTGTTTTCTTGTGTTTCAACCAAACGCTTCATCATCCCATTGGGAAGACAAGCCACAGCACTTTATACAATCAACAAAGAATACCAGATAAAAAAAAAAGAGGATAATTAGGAAAGAGGATATGATCTATCACATCTTCTGTAATTGAAATGTATTAGCTAGATGGACATACTTAAATCTAAAAAATCACCCTTCTTAACTTATATAAAAAATTATAAAATACCCTTCATAATTTTACCTGGTAACACCTCTAACAAGGCCCCAGTTGTGAACAGTGAGCGCTGATTGCGTAAATCCAATATTAAACACAGCTTGTGCAGAATCTTGTTTTCCTACTATTATGCCCTCACGATATCCCATCTAAAATTCTCGACAATGAAACTGACTAAATATCAGATGGCCACTACATCCTGTGCCTAAGCTAGGAAATAGATAACTTTTAATTGCTGCCTACTGTGTGAAATTCTTTTTGTATCCTTCGCCACTTCCTGTCTACCAATTCCTCATCAGAACCACCCCATAAAGATCCATCATCAGTGTTGAAGTCAGCCTCATCTGAACCTGATGGTATCACGGTATCAGACGCTGAACGTTGCAATAAACTTTTAGTTGCCACTATGTAACAATCTCACACCTAGAATCATTAAAAGAAAAATAAAGTCAATGTTGAACGATCAATATCAAGACGCAACCTTGGGCTAAGTAACATGAGGTAGATGACTAAACAAGTGTGGCTTAATGTACAATGCTACAAGTCAGAAGCTATGATTGCTAAGTCAGACGCCAAGGCCTTCATGCACAGACATGGATACATTAACAACATCGCCAATTAAAAGCAATGAATAGATCAATTAAACAAACGACTCACTCCACTTACTGTTAGCACTTGAAGAATGACCCAATTGTAGATTCGAACACTGCAAACTTTCTGGAAGACTAATTTCCATCTTTTATAACCATAGACAAGAACAAATTTCAAATCACACCAGAACAATTACTGCAGTAACATCCGCATAACGCATTCATTCAGCACATAAAGACCAAAATTTAGAATAGAAACAAAAAGGGCAGAAAAAAACAACTAACGAAAGCGAGTTTCGTGCATGATTAAAGAAACCAAATTTCATTACTAAGAATTCAGAGAAAATCTCTATCTTTTGTTTAGTATTAAAACTCAACAAAAAAGGAAGGAGGTTACTAGAAAATTGATGCAGTTAAAATTCTACCTAAGCTCAAGCAACTGGTCCTTGTTCGTTCTTCGTCTCCTTATCTCCTAACTGAACGAAGAAATAGTATCTCCGGATCCTCCAAGTAGGAATGAGCCGTGGGCAAAAATGCTGGGTTAAATGAAATAGTTAATCGAAAATCGATTAAAAAATTATTAAATGGTAAGATACTACTGGTTTTTGCTTTTTTATTTTTGTTTTTGTTTTGGTTATAATTAACTGAAAATAAAATTTTATATTGATAAACAATTATTATTTGAATGTTCTAAATAACATAAAACTCATCCTATTCAATCTCTTTTTCAAATATTATCTTTTGAATTTTGTAATAATTTAGACTTTAAATTTAAAATATATTTAAAAATTAAAAAAAATTCAAAATTTCAAATCTTACCCACATTTATTTACTATTTTTTTATTTTTTATTTTTACATTTGATAATTATTGGTTGAAGCTGAAACTGAACTTATAATGACTAGAAATTTGGATAACCAAACTAAAAAATTATATATATTTCGATATTGGTTTGTTCTTGAAGATTTCAACCAAAAATTTTCAGTTAATCAAATCTTGACTGAGACCAAGATTTGCCCATCCCTTCCTCTTAAGTTTTTCTGCTAAAATCTAAATTGCGGGCGGCTTTGCGGGCTTTACTCGGGCCATTCTGGGCTTCTTCAAAATGGGCCGTTCTCAACTTGATGCGGTCTATTTAGAAGGAGCCTTTGGTGATGTAGCACTTGTTTTCATAGAAAGATAGTATCTCAAAGGCCGTATCTACTCAAAAGTAGGCAAAATCTTATTATTAAGTCCTTGAACTTGCTTTAGATTCTTGATTAAGTCCCTAGGTTTTTATTGAAGCAAATAAACTCTCAAACCTGGCCATTTGTGCAATTTAACCTTTATTCGTACAACAGATGTAACATTTGTTTGTGCTTTATTTGCATGGACAATATCAATACTGACCACATAGATAATGACATATTAATACCTTATTTATGCAAGTAAAGCATAAATGGATATTAAGTCTGTTATAAAAAAAATGTTAAATGATCTAAATTATAAAGTTTAAGGATTCATTTGCTTCAATACTTAATTGAGAATTTAGGATAAGTTTAATAGCTTAACATAAGGTTTTACCCAGTAAATATTTTTTCATAAGTTAGAATCTAGGATTTAAGTTTTAGGTCTAACATAAAAAGAAATTAATTAATTTTCTTGAATATATCAATTTGATGTTAAAGAACATTTTTAAAAATCAACTAAAGAAGAAACAACCTCATAAGATGCGCAAAAACTGTCTCGAAACACATTCATCATAAATTAAAAAAAATGCATTCTTTAAAAAGAGTCTAATGATCACATCCTTTGGTTATAAGAGGAAAAGAAAGAAGAAACTTCTTGAATATATCAATTTGATGTTAAAGAACATCTTTAAAAATCAACTAAAGAAGAAATAACCTCATAAGATGCGCAAAAACTGTCTCGAAACACATTCATCATAAATTAAAAAAAATGCATTCTTTAAAAAGAGTCTAATGATCACATCCTTAAACACACATACTAAAAAAAAAAAAAAAA